TAAAAACATAAATAAAATAAATAGGTAAATAAATAAATTAATTTAATAAATGAAATAAATAAATGAATACATAAATAAATAAATAAATAAATAAATAAATAAATAAATAAATAAATACAATAACCCCTAAAGAGAACAACAAAATAAATAAATAAATAAATAAATAAATAAATAAATAAACAAATAAAATAAATAAATAAATAAATAAAATAAAATAGGTAAGAAAAGAAATAAAATAAATAAAATAGATATATAAATTATTTCTTAATAAAAAAATAAAAAAAAAATTAAATAAATAAATAAACAAAATAAATAGATAAATAAATAAACAAAATAAATAAATAAATAAATAAACAAAATAAATAAATAAATGAATCAATAAAATAAATAAACCAATAAATAAATAAAATAAATAAATAAATAAAATAAATTAAAAAAAAAATAAAATAAAATAAAAGGGATAAAACAATAAGATAAACAAAAGAGACAACAACATAAAATAAAAAAATAAAATAAAGGGGAGATAAATAAAATAAATAAAAAAAAAGATAAAGCAAAAGAGACAGAGAAATAAAATAAATAAAAAAAGAAAAAATAATATAACAAAAGAGAGAAAATAAAAAGACAGAGAAATAAAATAATAAAAAGAGAAAGGAAAATAAAATAAAGAAAAAATATAAACAAATAAAATAAAAAAGGAGACGAATAACAAAAAGGAGACAGAGAGAGACAAAGAGGAGACACACAGAAGGAGAAAGGAGACAGACGGATCCACACAACAAGCACCAGCAGCAGCAGCAGCAGCAGCAGAAGCAGAAGCAGCAGCAGCAGAAGCAGCAGAAGCAGCAGCAGCAGCATCAGCAGCAGCAGCAGCAGCAGCAGCAGCAGCAGCAGAAACTGCACTAACACCACCACCGCCACCAGCAGCAGCATCATCATCACCATCATCATCAAAACCACCATCAGCAGCAGCAGCAGCAGCAGCAGCAGCAGCAGCAGCAGCAGCAGCAGCAGCAGCAGCAG